AACGCCAACCATGGAAAAAGCTTGAAGTTTTATGTAAATTTAGTTAAATAGTTTTTATTACCTTGGTGGAAAATATTTACAAGTATAAATTTAACCCGCAGAAACTTCCAACTTTATCAAAAAATCAAACGTTATTTTGCTATCCCAATTTATCTTATTTTATAAACTTTTTTGCCAGGCAAAAAACACTTTTTAGTGTAGTTAATATTAAAATCGTGTATTTTAGTTAGGTCAAATACAGTAATTGGGTTCGAGTGACATACATAGAAGTTTAAATTTAAATTAATAGTAAGTGGTACGTATGAAGACAACCGACAACTGGACTTCACGACGACTTTTTTAACAACCGCCCTGCAGAGTGACGGCCTTCGATTCTCCGAAACAACCCACTGCTGACTCCCTTCTGCTACCTAGTTATACGGCGACTCTGCTGACTGACTGCTAGTACTCTGCTGCNATGGCGCTACATGCCACACAGCTCGCGATTCTATGGCCATTTTGAGGGAAAACTTCGGAGAACAATTCATCTCAAGAAATGGACCGGTAAGTTGGCCACCAAGATCATGCGATTTGACGCCTTTAGACTATTTTTTGTGGGGCTACGTCAAGTCTAAAGTCTACAGAAATAAGCCAGCAACTATTCCAGCTTTGGAAGACAACATTTCCGAAGAAATTCGGGCTATTCCGGCCGAAATGCTCGAAAAAGTTGCCCAAAATTGGACTTTCCGAATGGACCACCTAAGACGCAGCCGCGGTCAACATTTAAATGAAATTATCTTCAAAAAGTAAATGTCATGGACCAATCTAACGTTTCAAATAAAGAACCGATGAGATTTTGCAAATTTTATGCGTTTTTTTTAAAAAAAAAGGTATCAAGCTCTTAAAAAATCACCCGTTATAAGGACGCAGCTGATTGACTGCTGGTTCTCTGCTCCTCTGTTATCGCTGCACTTACATTACATAACTGAACACTTTTGGAGATCCCATGTTACACTCGGCCATTCTGATTTAGTCATCTGCCTCCAGAGAACGTATATTTATAGAGAAGGTCCAAGAACTGTGAATGCCACATTTTTCGAGCCAACAAAACTGGCGAAGCACATTTTAAGAGCGACAAATATTTGGAATAATTAACAGCGAAAGCAAAACACAAAGCAGAAAAGAAGAATGTTAACAGAGCTAAATCTCACGAGAGCATTTGGAATGTTAATTAAATATGAATATTGATGATTTTTGTGATATTTTGGGAAAATTTTCAAATAGAAAACCCAATAAAAAAAAATAAATTTTTTTTCATTGATTTGTACAAGTTACATGAAATTAAATCGAAAATAGTATATAACATTCCCGATTTTTGTGATATTTTATTAATAGTTGATATGAATATTGATGATTTTTGTGATATTTTGGGAAAATTTTCAAATAGAAAACCCAAGTAAAAAAAAGTAAATTTTTTTTCAATGATATGTACAAGTAACATGAAATTAAATCGAAAATAGTATATAACATTCCCGATTTTTGTGATATTTTATTAATAATTGCAAATAGAAAAGTCCCATGTGTTTGTGTTTTTTTGTGAAAATATTTTTTGATAAAAAGATCCTTTTCCCCGGTGATTTCCACAAATAATAATAATAATAATAATAATAGATTGGCGCTTACACATATGTTAGTGTTTGGCCGAGCTTCTCCTCCGATTTGTGGCGTGCGCCTTGATGTTGTCACACAAAGCGGAGGGACCTACAGTTTTACGCCGACTCCGAACGGCGATTGTANTTTTTTCTATATTTTTGCGATGTTGCTTTGACCAGGGTTTGAACCCAGGCATTGTGGAGTGGAAGCGCGCACTGCTTACCACTACACCACAGCGGCCGACAAATACTGTGAAAATAAATCGAAANTGATGATTTTTGTGATATTTTGGGAAAATTTTCAAATAGAAAACCCAATAAAAAAAAATAAATTTTTTTTCATTGATTTGTACAAGTTACATGAAATTAAATCGAAAATAGTATATAACATTCCCGATTTTTGTGATATTTTATTAATAGTTGATATGAATATTGATGATTTTTGTGATATTTTGGGAAAATTTTCAAATAGAAAACCCAAGTAAAAAAAAGTAAATTTTTTTTCAATGATATGTACAAGTAACATGAAATTAAATCGAAAATAGTATATAACATTCCCGATTTTTGTGATATTTTATTAATAATTGCAAATAGAAAAGTCCCATGTGTTTGTGTTTTTTTGTGAAAATATTTTTTGATAAAAAGATCCTTTTCCCCGGTGATTTCCACAAATAATAATAATAATAATAATAATAGATTGGCGCTTACACATATGTTAGTGTTTGGCCGAGCTTCTCCTCCGATTTGTGGCGTGCGCCTTGATGTTGTCACACAAAGCGGAGGGACCTACAGTTTTACGCCGACTCCGAACGGCGATTGTATTTTTATGAGAAGCTGTTTTTCATGGCAGAAATACACTCGGAGGTTTGCCATTGCCTGCCGAGGGACGACCGCTGTTAAGAAAAAAACCTTTTTTCTATATTTTTGCGATGTTGCTTTGACGAGGGTTTGAACCCAGGCATTGTGGAGTGGAAGCGCGCACTGCTTACCACTACACCACAGCGGCCGACAAATACTGTGAAAATAAATCGAAAAGGTTATACAGTATATTTTGCTTAGCTGCACATCCTTCTTTGCACGAAAAACTTGTGCACCTAACCGAAAAAGGCACTTAAGCGAATTTTCTTTACTACTTCAATGAGGAAGTTATCCGAATCCCTATGAAACCAAATAATGGAAAAGCACTTATCACGTAGAAAATAATGCAAGCGAAATTTTATTCGAATGGTTTCTTATTATTTTTATAACTACATAAATTGAAGCCATTTTCTTTGTTCTGCGATATGAGCAAAATAAATAAAAGCTTGTAAAATAAGGTAATTGTAGGGCCAGTGCAGGTAAACGTAATACTTTCTTTGATAATTGATACTAGTTGCATAATTTTTAAGGCAGGTATCGCCAATGTGCATGTATGTTGAATGCATCTATCAGAGCAGTTTCCTTATAAATTTAAAAAATAATGTCTCAGATGCGCATTTTCGGGTAGGTATCTTAAATGTGCACTTAAGCATAAAGGCAGCGAAGCAAAATATACTGTATAGCATTTTTCGATTTTTGTAATATTTTGTTAGATTTTCAATTATAAGACTTTATTGGTATTCGATTTTTTTTGTAAATAGAGTTTTTAAGGGGAAAAAATAGTTTCTTCTCGATGATTTGTGCACACAACGTTAAAATAAATCANCGGGTAGGTATCTTAAATGTGCACTTAAGCATAAAGGCAGCGAAGCAAAATATACTGTATAGCATTTTTCGATTTTTGTAATATTTTGTTAGATTTTCAATTATAAGACTTTATTGGTATTCGATTTTTTTTGTAAATAGAGTTTTTAAGGGGAAAAAATAGTTTCTTCTCGATGATTTGTGCACACAACGTTAAAATAAATCAAAAATATTATATAACATTTTCCAATTTTTGTGTTATTTTCAAGTAAAACACTGTATTGGTATTGGATTAAAAAAAAACTGAAAAGTTTTATTTTCCTTTTTTTTTGAGATCTCACAAAACTAAGTCGAAAGTCTGTATGAATTTTTTCATATTTTCGATATTTATGGAAATAATTCAGTTTTTAATTGTTTACGACTTGGAAACTTTGTTTAAAAATACTAAAAATCAGAAAACGTCGGATTTTCCCAGCAATTAGTAAAAATCTCGCTAATATAAGCCGAAACTATTTGAGAAATTTTTCAATATTTTCAATATTTATGGAAATAATGCAGTTTTCATATCTTTTCTAGTGCAAGAAGTTGCCATTGGACGGGTGGCAGCTTCGCTACTCATGTAATTTGTCCCCCACATTGTCATTTACATATCTAATTANATCTGTGAACTTCCGATAAAACCACATATTTTTGTGATTTTAGAAGTTTTGATTTTATTTAAAAAAAATCAATGTATTTTCCAGCTGAAAACGTACTNCCGCTTCCATCCACACAAATTATTCAATTTCTGCGAATCGCCTCCAGATTTGCACGTGCGCGAAACCATTAACCCTACGTTTACGAAATATTTTGCGTTTCGCATAACTTTGCATTTAATAGGGCAATACTTGTAAATTTTGTGTGGAGAATAATATTAATTAATTTAAAATTCTGCATGTAACCATGTTCTCGACGATACGTGTAACTTTCATCAAGATTAACCATAAAAATTGTGCTTCATTAACAGTTGGAACCAGCTGAAACTAAAAAAACTATGTCCGCTAAAATGGGTTAAACACTAACTGGAATTGGCATTTTGTACACACGGTGGAGTGGCACTAGCTTGGACATTGCATTGCTTGTACTTGATGTGTTTGAATCTTTTATGGTACTAAAGATTTGCTTACGGTTGAAAAATATTAAAAATCGTCCGTGCATATATGTAAATATATTTTTATAAACGCTTTGAAGTATAGAAAATTTTAATATTAAAAAATAAATAAAATAATTTTTTTGTATATATATAAATTTTGTTCAAGGCACATTGACCCGCCTGTACAAAAATTGTGGCGCGTCACGGACAAAAATTTTACAATTTCGGACCGAAAAATACGAAAACGAGCTAAGTTGCCACGTTATATCTGTGAACTTCCGATAAAACCACATATTTTTGTGATTTTAGAAGTTTTGATTTTATTTAAAAAAAATCAATGTATTTTCCAGCTGAAAACGTACTCTTTTATTTAATGTTTATTAAAATTACATATCAAAAACTAGTTAATGATTGAAATATTGATATGGAACATAGAAATAGAGTGTTTTGCCAAATATTACCAATAATTTCCAAAATTCGAGATAACTTATTTTACTGGATATAGAGAAATAGTTGCCACTTTTCACTTGGCTGGCCGAGATTTCTTCATTTTAAGATTTTAGAATTTTTGTGTCGGATTGAAAAAGTTGCGCTTGTTGGTGATGAATTTGCGGGGAGATGTGCTGCGATTATTTTTATGAATGAATTTACTTGGCCTTGAGAAATGCGCGCATGCGTTTGTGAAAGAAATAGTTATTATTGTATTTGAGTATGCGTGTAATTATGTGCATATGTATGTATGCTGCCGTGAGTTGTACATATGTACATTTGTATGTATGTGCGTAGCATTTTGGCAGCAATATGCACATACATATGTACATACATATATAGGTATGCATGTAAAAACGTTATCAATTAATGGAAATAAATAAGAAGAAAGTTAGTTGCATCTTTTTTTCACAGATGCCAAATCCACTCAAAGTGATGTGAAAAGGCTGCAACTAACTTTAGTGTCGACTTTATTTTAACTATGAATATGTCCCATTATTTCCCTGCAAAAATCGTTGGACCATGTAGTCTATTTGTGGTATATTGGAGTACTTACAAAAGTGCTCCTCTGTCATGCTGTAGCGGACCAACTCGTGTCTCTGCACCAGCTTATTGTAACCCGATCACTGCTCGTGTTTTAACGACATGTGATTGAAGTTAAGCATTTGAAAGTACATTTGCATGTCTGGCTGTAGCTGAACGTGTAGAGATGCTAGCTGTTAGTTCTTATCTCCCAGCATGTTCGGGTTCGAATGTCGTCAGAGGCAACAAGTAATTTTTAATTTTTGTTTCTGGTTTTTATTAATTTCAAAAAAAGCATCTGCGAAGTGAAGAACAAAAGCGTGTACAAACGAAAAATATAACGATAATGTCATTGGAGTATGTTGGGAGTAGTTTTGTGCTACTCTGATGTAATGNATAGCAGTGAAAAATGATAATGCACAGTTTTTCTCAATATAAATAACTTTTCGACAAAAACAACTTTGAAATAACACGTGCAGTGCAAACAATGCATTTGTACGTTTTTTGTCAATGTATCCATCTTTGAAGTGGATTTGTGAGAAAACTAACGCAGCTAGAAAACTGCAGTTTGTTGCATTGAAAATAGCGTACCTATTAACTACCATTAGAATCGTTAAAAATATAAAAACCGATTTTCTTCGCTTTTAATGCCGACATCAAATCACCAAACAGTGCGCATTTGCGTGTTTTGGTCAATGTGTCCATATTTAAAGTGAATTTGAGGAAAAACTAAGGTTTGTTGCATTGAAAATAGCGTAGCATCTACCATATGAATGGGTAAAAAAGTAAAAGTCGATTTTTTCAACTCAAATGCGGACGGCAAATCGCCTACGAATTTGCCAATTGCACATTTTTCACATTTTAGATTCACGAAATTGTATCTCTCGCATAAATATGCATGTACACAATATGTACATATTACATATTTCGACCTATGCATGCATTTATTTTAAATAATTAACCAATTTAAAGAACAATAAGAGCGTTGTAAAAACGTAAAAAGCCATCAGCATTGCATGTCTAACAAGAAAAATATGCATTTGCTTTGATGAGACAATTTCTGTTAAATTTATTTTGCTTCTGGCTGGGCTCTGTTAAAATTCGATTGTCTCTGGCTTGCCGCTCTTAAAATGCGCTTCGCCAGTATTGTTGGTATTTGACAGTTTCCACGCTGATTCGTTCTTGGACCTTCTCTATAAATATACGTTCTCTGCTGCCTCAGATGACCACTCCTCATTATTGTCAACAACATACTTCCAAAGTTTCATGTTGTCACAGCTAGTTGATGTGTTGACAGCTCCCTCTACGTTTGCGGCTCTTCGAACATCATATCTTGAAATCCGTTTTACTTTCGTAATCTCGTATGGGCCCAAGTATTCGCTTGCCAGTTGTTTTCCAGCAACGAATTGCGTGCGACGAATGGCGACCAAGTCTCCAACTTGATAATCATACTCGGCCTTCCGTTTTGTATCAAATTGCTGTTTATAGGCCGCCTGTGGCCGTTGAATCTCGCCTTTTGCCTCTTTCGGCAATCGCTGCCTTTCGACATCGAAATTCTCGTATATGTCTTGTTCAAACATTTCTATATAAGGCTATCACACCCGGTTTTCATCCATACCCCGAATATTACCTCAAACGGAGACCTTTTTGTCGATGAATGAACATAAGCGTTAATCGTTGCTTGCACTTTCGGTAGGACTTCGAACCATTCCGATGACTCCTCGGAAGACAGTTTTGCTATGATCGCCAGCACTGAGCGATTGACGGGTTCTATTTGGCCGTTTCCTTGAGGCACTTCAGCTGTGCTCCACACATGTTTAACACCAATGGTTTTTGCATACTCTTCAACCGCCATCACTGATTATTTGATATGGATGCCCAAAATGGCAAACCAATCTTGTAACTTCTTGAGCACCTCGTAACTGCTGCCGCAATAAGAAGAGAGAGGGCGAAATACGTCAGTGCGAAGAGCTTAAAATGCTGGCCGACAGGAAGAATCCCCGAAAATTTTACCAGAGAGTTAGGCGGCTTACGGAAGGTCTCAATACCTGGGCGTACTCCTGTAAGAAAAACAATGGCGACCAAGTAACCGATGTCCAGGGCATACTTAAATTATGGAGGGAACGCTTCTCCGCCCTACTAAGTGGTAGCAGCATGGAAAGTTGTGGAGAAGAAGAACTCGAGCCCGCAGTCGATGATGACGGAGTCGACGTTCCACCGCCTGATGACAAAGCTGCTGGAGCTGACAGCATGCAAGCTGAGCTATTCAAGTACGGCGGCGAGGAGTTGATAAGGTGCATGCATCAACTCTTGTGCATGGTCAGATGAACGCATGCCCGACGACTGGAATTTAAGTGTGCTCTGCAAAATCTACAAGAAAGGTGACCCCGCCATTCGCGTCAACTACCGCGGGATCAGCGTTCTAAGCATAGGTTACAAGGTCTTATCGAGCGTATTGTGTGAAAGACTGAAGCCCACCGTCAATGAACTGATTGGGCCTTATCAGTGTGGCTTTAGACCTGGCAAATCCACCATAGACCAGGTATTCACAATACGCCAAATCTTGGAAAAGACCCGCGAGAAAAGGATCGACACTCACCACCTATTTGTCGACTTTAAAGCCGCTTTTGACAGCACTAAAAGGAGTTGCCTATACGCCGCTATGTCTGAATTTGGCATCCCCTCAAAACTCATACGGCTGTGTAAAATGACGTTGAGCAATACCACCAGCTCCGTCAGAATTGGAAAAGACCTCTCCGAGCCGTTCGCCACAAAACGGGGTTTAAGATAGGGCGACTCCCTTTCATGTGCCTTCTTTAATCTTATGTTTGAGAAGATAATAAGAGCTGCAGAACTGAACCGCTCAGGAACAATTTACTATAAGAGCGTGCAATTGCTGGCTTATGTCGATGACATCGACATCATCGGTAACAAAAACCGCGAAGTCTGTTCTGACATTTTCAAATTGGATAAGGAAGCAAAGCGAATGGGTTGGGTGGTAAACGAGGACAAGAGGAAGTATATCCTGTCATCAAACAAACAGTCAGCACATTCGCGCCTTGGCACCCAAATCGCTGTTGACAGTTAGAATTTCGAGAAAGTAGAGGATTTCGATTACTTGGGAACCAGTCAGCATTGAAATGCAACGCAGAATCACTCTTGCCAACAACTGACTGAGTTGGCAATTCAGGAGTAAAGTCCTCTCTCGACGTACGAAAACCACGCTCTATAAGTCACTCATCATGCCCGTGCTGGTATATGGCGCAGAAGCATGGACAATGACAACATCCGATGAGCGGCTCTTGGAGTGTTCGAGAGAAAGGTTTTGCGGAAGATTTACGGGCCTTTACGCTTTGGCGACGGCGAGTACTGCAGACGATGGAATGATGAGCTGTATGAGCTTTACAGCGACATGGACATAGTGCAGCGAATTAAAATACAGCGGCTCCGCTTTCTTGGCCATGTCGTTCGAATGGACACCGACACTCCAGCTCTGAAAGCATTCAACTCCGAACCCGCTGGTGGTAGCAGAGGAAGAGGGAGGCCCCCACTGCGATGGAAAGATCAGGTGGAGAAGGACTTGGCTTCAGTTGGCGTCAGTTGGCACAGAAGAGACACGACTGGCGTGCTTTGCTGAACTCGGCCAAAATCGCTTAGGCGGTTACAGCGCCAAAATAGAGAAGAAGAACGGCTAAGACAGTCAACATGTTTAAGTTGCACACCCGCACGATGTTCGATTTCAAATCTAAAATCTTGCAAATAAATAACCCATTGTACCACCTCACGTGGGACATCCCTTTTGCTCATCGTCTGCTTAAAAGCAGCACAGTCTGTTACTAGCTTGAATGAAATTCCTAGCAGATAGTGACGGAATTTTTTCACTGCCAAGAAAACTGCTTTTGCTTCTAGGATATAGCTGTGCTGACGCGCCTCCGTTTCAGTTGACTTTTTGCTGCAGAAGAAAACGAGATGGAGCACTCTTCCCACTGGAGTAGCGCTGCACTAAATCCGTCTTTTGACGCATCTGTGTGCAATTCAGTACTAGCTTATCTGTCGTATGTTTTCAGCACAGGTTCTCGAACTAAGACATCATGCATTCAGCTCCGCTACACCCATTTGCAAATCTGTATCTTTGCGAAGCAGCTTTGTCAGCGGTCGGGAAGCACGGGCGTAGTCCTTCACAAACTTGCGAAAAAAACCTGTCAGTCCCAAGAAAGCACGGCTTTAGCATTTCAACGAACTGGAAATTTGCTGACGGCACTTGTTTTCTCCTTGCAGGCCATATTTTACCATTTCCAATCGTGTGGCCCAAGAAGGGAATCTTCGTCTGCGGAAAGTGGCATTTCTTTCATTTTATTTTCAGGCCATTGTCCATCTTCGCAAGACATTCGTCCGCCGTCACTTCATGAATGATAATATCATCCATGTACAAATCTAGTATATCCTTGGTCATGAGACCTTGAAACACATGGTTTATGAAAAGTATGATAACGGCGGGTGAGTTTCAAAACCCGAACGGAGCGCGATTGAACTCAAATTTATCTTAATTTGTAAGTTTTAGTAGCACTTAATTAGTGTTAGCTGAGTAGTCTAAGAATAATCTGTATTCCAAGACTGAGATAAATAAATACATTTGCGGCTACTTTCCTCAATTGGTACGTGGAAAAAGCCGTTTTCCAAAATCCATTACAGTGACATACTTCGCTTTCTCTAGCTTTTCGAGCACGTCATCCATAACTGGTACCGTTAAA